ATTGACATAAAGAGAGTAACATTAAACGTGTTAAGTACAGACCAACTCTCGGTAAATTTAACCACATGCTCATTTATACATTGTACCATACCTAGGGTGGTCGGGTGGTGCAGTGGATAGCGCACTTGCCTTTCACCAAGGCGAACGGGGTTCAATTCCCTAATCGGACGTGAAAGGTATGAGATCACCTGCTCGACCACATGGGTTTTCTCCGGGTACTCCGGTTTCCTCCCACATTTAGACCATACGCGCGCTTACATCCGAGCCAACAAGACTGATTAATTTTAAGTTGAAATAACTTGTTTCATAATTGTTGTAAATAAAATAAAATTTATATACCACACATATAACCATAGAGATCCCCTTAAGACCTTTCCCTGCCTATCCTTTCTAATACAAACTGTAAGAGTCAGTATTTGTCATTGTGGGCCCTATATACAAATTGTTGTTTTTTGGACAATTCTGGTAAAATCCGAGAGCAAGACATCGGCTGACCCACCAGGCTTGCGTGTTACTTCCGGTTAGCTGTGAATGAATACAAATGATTTTCTTTAGATTACTCATTTGAGACCATTTCCTTGGTGATTACGGATCGATATCTGTAGAATGAGGGCAGTAATGGAATTTATTTTGGAATTAGCCGCGAATCACCGCAAGTCGGGAAGGATCCGGTCGCTATTTCTGTAAAGAAATCCCCAGACCAACATATAGATCATCATAGATCGCCAGCAGAATCCGTTCATCCTCCACAAATTGGTCTTTTGAAGGAAAAATCTCATATATTACATGTAATTACATTATCAAATTAAATTAAATTTTCTTTATTTCCTCTCTAATTCGACCCCTGATATTCTCACGTCAAATATTCTGACAACCTTTCAATTCCGACATGCATACAATTACCACACAAACCTTGTATTCCGACATACTGTCTAATATCAGCATTTTTGTTTAATTTATTTGCTAAGGCGGTTAAAACCAGTAAAGCAAGGTGCACTTCAAAATGGACAAAGTTTCAAAGTGGTCCTAAAATGCGTAAGTGACACCATCATCGGTGGACGCGATTTTATATGACTAATTAGTAACGGCCAAAGTAGCCGATAAGCAATAGCACAGACAACTCAATGGCTGCGCTTTAGTGCATTGCACGTTTATTACAAGCCCTTCAAATGCCCTTAGCTATTGTGAGGACGCAATACAGGACGGCGTTGAAAGCATTTAGCGTCTATTCCTGATCATGATCAAAATTACAGGACCCGGATGTCCCGAAGACTTATATTGAGGGTATTGATAACAACACGTCAACAAATAGATTGCTTTCACACTTGGAATGGGCATATTATTTTGTAACCACTTAAACTGCAGTTGTAATTCAATGGAGATTTCTTTTAATGTTGAGGCCAGCCTCTTTTAAATAATGCAAATAAAACACACGGGTGGGGGATGGGGGATCGCTTGTAAATGTCGTTACATATTGTAAGGCGATAAACACTAAAGTGTAGATTAGACAGACAAGACACGGACCACATATAAAGCGATGTTGACAGTCTATCGAAACTGTTCTCTATATATCACACACTTATCACAGCACACATCTAAGTGACCAATGCCTTACTTCTGGCTGTGTGTTGCACGTTCGCCTAGGCGAGGAAGGCAATGGGTTCCGTCCCCAGGCCAGGACATGATAATTTAACGTTTCAGCAGGGTAAGGAAAACAACAGGTTCAGCCGGTGTCAGGACGTGTACAAGGTATAATGTGACCCGGTGGATGCTGTGCTGCACGCCTTCAGCAATGCCTTTCAGTGGGGTTGAACTATAAAGTCGGCATCGGATCCGTGTTATCGCAAGGAGGCAATAACACCAACATACCCTGCCACCAGCACACATACACATATGCATACATACATAACACATGTGACCACGTCTTTAAATGACCATATAAAATGTAGCTGTTTATAAGACGCAAGACCATTTAAAACCAAACCAAAGCCCTGTATCCACCTGTCCAACTATTTCGAAATCACCTATCCAGTTATCTTCCTATTTCGCGAAAAGTTATCCAGTTGTTCTTCTTATTCGCCTCGGCTAGTCTATCTGTCACCGTTTAACAAGTATCCCACTATCACACCAATACCATTTTCCAGCTGTTCTTCTATTTCCCGAAAAGTTATCCAGTTGCCCATTGCCCAGTCACAACTAATGCAGTTGTCCCACTTTCAAGTCAGTTTTTAAGGGGTCATAATGGGTATAATTAAAAGTGTCCTATTGATTCAACGGAAACAAAGGCGGCTGATAAGTGACTTGCCTAGTTTTGGACGATCCACCAATACTATACATTCTTTTTGACAAGCCACTAATACTAAAATGATTTGGACAACCCACCAATAGCATAAATGTTTTTGACAACCCACCAATACTATGAACGATTTTGAACAACCCACCAATACTATGCACGATTTTGAACAACCCACCAATAGCATAAATGTTTTTGACAACCCACCAAAACTATGAACGATTTTGAACAACCCACCAATACTATGCACGATTTTGAACAACCCACCAATAGCATAAATGTTTTTGACAACCCACCAAAACTATGAACGATTTTGAACAACCCACCAATAGCATAAATGTTTTTGACAACCCCCCAATACTATGAACGATTTTGAACAACCCACCAATAGTATAAATGTTTTTGACAACCCACCAATTCTATGAACGATTTTGAACAACCCACCAATACTATGCACGATTTTGAACAACCCACCAATAGCATAAATGTTTTTGACAACCCCCCAATACTATGAACGATTTTGAACAACCCACCAATTCTATGAACGATTTTGAACAACCCACCAATACTATGCACGATTTTGAACAACCCACCAATACTATGAACGATTTTGAACAACCCACCAATAGTATAAATGTTTGTTGAAAATCAATCATACTATACATAGTTTTGCATTGTAAGAGTAGCTTTCGAGGCAAATATTTGAGCTTTTTTGCTGAATAATAATTGTATACATATTGTCCAATCGTGTCCACTGTTTGTAATACATATGTAGTGCCCGGTACTGCCAATACGCTACTTTTTGCCGCTAGAGGCGCTAACATCAGTCGACTTAATTTTTGACCGCTATATTGCATATTGGAAAGTGCATGATCTTAAAATTACTCGACAGAGTCGATTTTTTTTTAGAATAAACAACATTTGTATGACGCACTATATAATTTCAAGTCAAATAACTTTGAAAACCTTGACATTCAAGTAATGATATACATTACCACTCAACGTAACTATAGTAGAGAGTCTCACACGCATCTAACCACGTGATCCCATGTATACCTTCATTTGCGTGACGTTGTTCATGTATACGTATTCGGCTTGTTGTGGGTCAGTATTTCAGCGGTCGGGTTATAATGTCACATACCACTCTAATACAACAACATTATTAGAAGCAGCACGCATAGTCACTGGCGGCACTAGACTCACAAGTAGAATTAAACTGTATACTGAACCAGGTTGGCTTCCCCTTGTGGAAAGACGTAAACAGCACAAGCTTATTCTTTTCCACAAAATGGTTCATGGTCTGGCTCCTCAATATCTTCTCGATATTCTACCTCAGCGTAACCGTAATTACCACAACCATGATACTCGCACGGGAAATAATTTTCGTCCACTAGTTAGTCATACGAGTCTCTATAATAAATCTTTTTTGCCATCTGTCATCAGTATCTGGAACTCCTTGCCTGACTATGTCAAGAACGACCCTTCAATCTATAAACTTAAAACCTAT